TATTAAATGTAAATGACAATGGAAGTTGATCCTTGTGGAACACCTTATTAATGATTGATCACACTGAACATCTTTATTTTCTCTATACTCTGCCTCCTCTCATACAGTCGGACCCTGACCTGCCCCCAGATCACAGCAGTCCGTCCCCTACAGATGAGGTGTTTGACCCGGCCCCAGCCCCCCCCCCATACATGCCCCCGCAGCCATCCATTGAGGAGGCCCGGCAACAGATGCACTCTCTTTTGGATGACGCCTTCGCTCTGGTCTCACCGTCCTCGCAGAGCAGTGCCGGGGTGAGCGGGTTAAGCCCTGCCCTGCCCAGTGCCTCCCCTCAGGCCCGTCCCCCAGGCAGACAGTGGGGTTCTTACCCAGCAGCTCCCTCTCACAGCCCTTTCTCTGCAGTGAGTGTGTTGACTTGCAGCTGAGGACCAAAACTTGTGTCATGAATCAGAGTTCAGTTTTCATTGTGTTCTTCTCCTCTTCTTGCAGAGATATGCTGAGTTAGGAATGTCTCCTACATCAGTCCAGGGCCTCCTGCAGAGGTCAGTGTCACATAAAATCAAGTCCAGGTCTGAAGCTTGGACATGAACTAGTACTGATACTCTGTGTTTTATTCAGGCAGGGCCTGAGCTCAGGAGGGTATGTTTCCACTGGCGATCAGCTGCAGGAGTCAGTTTACTCCAACAGGGGGCAGTATGAGGAACCCCCCTCCTCCTCCAGACCACGGCCTGTTGGGGGCAGCACAGGTAAAGTCAACCTGAGGAGGGATGTCCGAAATTCACTTGTTCCTATCAGTCTTTTATGTTGTCTTTGTTGACTTTATCAACGGAAAATTTTCCTCCAGGAGCACAGCTCCACCACCTGACACAGGTGGGTTTGTCCAGTCAGATCGGTGCTTACCCTGGGGTAGGTCGCAGCATGTCTGGTCCCACTGGCTCAAGCTGGAACCAGCAGCATTCAGACCAAGAACTATCAAGACCAGGAGACAGCAGAGAGAGCGTGAGTTTGCTTAGATTCAAAATCAAACAAAACTGGACCAAACAAACAGTTGTGTCTATTAAATATCAGTGTAATAATGAGTGGTGTTGGGATGGAGGACACAGTCCTGAACAGTCTTAACTAGTCCAGACTAGTTCAAGAAAGTTTAGACAGTCTAGACCAGTTCTATTTAGATCAGTCTTGACCAGTACTAGTTAATACTTTTCCAAACTAGGTGAAAATGTCACAGCTGACTTTGTCGAAATCACTTGTAATTGTCTGCATTGGAGAGTAATACACATCTTTGAGTCTTGTGTTGGTCTCATATTGTATCCATGTCCTGTCTCTGACTGACAAAGTGCAGCAGAGTGTTTAAGTATTAATTTTCTGTTCTTCAGCTCACCGTCTCTACCTTTTCCCGCAGGTGCTGTCGTTTCCTGAGTTCTCCTCTTCCTCTGTTTTCCAGATGCCTGGCTCCTCATTGCGTGACCCATCGGCACCACCTCTCCTCCTGACCTCACCGACTCCAGAATATCCACCAGAGGATGCCTCGCCCTCCGCCCACACCTCCGCCTCACTTATCAAGGCTATCAGAGAGGAGCTGCGTCGTCTGGCCCAGAAGCAGGCAGTGACCAGTTACCCATAGACTTATGTGGACTGGTTTGGATCAGGACTCTGCTGGTCCCAATAGTTATCATTTTGAACCACTATGGCGTGAATGGACTGGATTAAAACTAATGATCCACACTTTGGACTCTCTTGAGCAGATTTACGTCTCAGTAGCTAAACCCAAATTATCCACATCTCCTGTTTCCTGACTGAAAGACCTCTGGTACTTTACAGGGTTCCATCTGTCTGTTTGTCGGTCATTCTTCAACTCTGTGTTTCATTGGACAGGAGTTTGACTCTTCACATTCCCACTGAAGTGCTTCCTGGACTGGATTGTCCCATATGTCCCATATGTCTTAGACCTGATTTAGAATCTGAATTTATAGAGGGGGTTGTCACACTTGACCTTTTGGTGCTGATCATCCCTCATGGAGGTCTGGAGTACATTGTACCTCCTGGATGGATGGCATAGCTGTTCCACTTTAGGCTGTCCTGATCACCCACAGTGGATGATCTCTATTTACCATCTTTACTGGTTTGTCCCATCTGATCCTATGGCATGGATTTGTTCATTCTGGAGTTCTAGAGTGGAAATTAATTCCTGAACTCTTTGTTTTAATGGTTCATCCTAATCTTCTCATGTGGATCATTCATTTTTAACTTCAGGAACAGATTGTTCATCCAAGATTTCTCATTTGGACAGTCCAGTCCAGTGGATTGTTCTTCTGGAGTTGTTTAGTGGAAATTATTTCTTAAACTCCTGCAGCTGATTTCCCCCCCTGACTTTATGGAGCAGATTGTCCCTCCTGAAAATCTGCAGTGGATGCTCCTACCTGAAAAAGCTAGAGTCGATGGTCCATCCCAACCTTCTCATGTAGATCATTCCCTCTGAACTTCTGGAACAGATAGTCCCTCTAGGATTGGGACAATCCCTTCTGACCCTCTGGAGTGAATGGTCCTTTCTTGACGTCTCGATCTGGACCATTGCTTCTGGAGTTTTGAAGTGGATTATCCCTCTGGATGTTCTGTGGTGCTAACCATCAGCCTCATACCATCATTTCATTAACCACTTATTGCCTTCCACACTTCCATCAGCCATGGGAATCAGGTCTCTTTTCATAAAGCATATTGATGAGGCCTTTGCACTGTCGACAGCAGGAGGTGGCGTAAAGTAGTTCCAACATAGGGGCAAAAAAACAGGAAAAGTATATATATAAATATCTATGAGAATGAATACAAATATATGTAAAGANTATTATGTGTTTAATAAGCAGCACTGTGACTGATAATGAATACACAGTCAAAATTTGATTATTCCTACTGAATTAAGAACTTTGCTGAAATTGAACTATTCTTCATTTCAAGGAGGACCCCCTGGAATTCCCTCAAGGACGACCTGGAGGTCCCCGGACCCCACTTTGAGAACCGCTGATCTGACTGGCTGGCTGGCAGGGGTCTGATTCTAAAAGGTGCGCACCTAACTGGCTGGAGCCAGGGCGGCGTATTGCCTTTCACACGACTCTAAAATACTCTCCGGGCAGAGCCTGAAAGGGTTACTGTTTCCCAAAGTGCCTCATTCTGCGCAGTCGAGAGGGGGCGGCTGAGTGGCGCCGTCGAGTCAGAGACGCAGTTTCTAAAAAACCCCGAGACATCATCAAGAAAGAAGCTGACAGTGAGGAAAGCAGCCCCCCTCCTGCTCCTTCTCCTCTTCCTCCTCCTCCTCCTCCTCCTCTGGCACGCTGCCGCTCCTCTCCTCTGCTTACCAAATCCCCTCAGCGGTTCTGTCACAATAACCGGGCGGCAAGTGTCAAATCCAAACTCTGCCCGCAAACGCGCAAATCACTTTAACGCACACAAGATGCGCTCAGTGGAATATACTACACGGGCTGCTTTGAGCTTTCAGACGTTTAGTCATGGCTCTGTTTAACTCGTTGATTGTATTTGAGGAAAAATATAAACACCATAAAAGCCCTACTTACAGAAAATCACTCCTCGCTTTGATTCCATTCCCCTGCGCGCGTCTCCAAGCGCGTTTAATTGGCCGTATCTCTTAAAGTTGCAGACAGCGCACCCCGGCTCTGCAATTAATAGTCTGCTAACGTCAAAAACAGTTGACCATTGTTTTATGGGCTTTGTGTTTCTCTCTCCCTCTCTTTCTCTCTCTCTCTCTCTCTGCAGGGCGGTCAGACTTGAATCGGCGCCGGTCTGCTCCAGTCCACCTCTATACAAATACCTCAGTGGAACTTTCTGTGGCGCTTCCAGCGTAAAAAAGCGCAGACCCCAGACGCCCCGGGCTTGCGCGTAAACGCAGGTCATTTCATCATCTGACACTGTTTGAAATGTCTGAATCATATTTTACCCATTATGTTAACACCTCGCAGCCCTGAGAGGGGAATGTGCGCAGACAGGGGGGGGGAGATGAATGTGCGTGGCCTCTCTCCACTCTCTCTCTCTCTCTGGCTGAGACAAATGAATGCCAGTTCTGTGGAGGCGCTTGAGGTATGTGTTGCGCATTACGCAGCGTAGTAAATCAGCCCTTTCTAAAATCACTGTGACGGCGTGGAGCATCAGGCAGTCCACACACAGCCACTGAAGCCTGGACTCACTGTGCACTTTGTAACTCCACTCCGCCTCGGAGCCTACACTGCAAAAAATGTCAGTCTGGCACTATCCTATCCTGTTTTTGTCATAAAACGTGGCTGAATTTCACTTTGTTTCCAATAAAAAACTTATTCTAATTTTTAAAAAAAATAAAACAACATTTCTTAGACAGTGATTAATAGAAATCCCTTTGAACATCAAATCCCAAATGGAAACCAGTGGAATCACCATAGAGATCAGCAGACTTCTCTTGCGAAAAAAATATCTTAGTATTAGACAACGTGTTCAGATGATATTTTTTACAGTGTACACGCCCCCTGATATAGACACTCGTTGTAAGCAAATTGGCTTGAGACTAATACATGTTGAAAAGATAGACTTTATTGCTAAAACGTGTAACCATAACATGTACACTGATANTTGGAGTAGTGAGATGTTACATATTTTAAGTAAACTTAAATCTTTTATTTTAATGACAAAAGACCAAACTACTGTTCTATGGTTGTAGTCCTCTTGTATTTGAGCTTGCTGTAGATTTTAAGCCGTCTTTTGTTTCTCTTTGGAGACATTGCTTGGCATAGCTGCTAGTGCACGTGTTCATGTAACGGTGGCAATGAAAAAAAATGCGTGCTTGCATCGCTTTATGGAGTTTTTACGTCGCTGATTTGTTGCATCCATCTTTGGGCTGCACACTGAGTCTCTTGGCCGTCAGGTGGATTCATGTAGAGGAGCAGAGACGGGAACAGCCGTTTAGCATAACCAGGAACTGAAGCTACAGCAGTGTCCCCTGGAGGCTGTAATGTGTATTACACACAAACTAACTTTCTTACCACCAGTGTTATCATTGCACCAGAGATTGGAGATTCATCACCTGATACGTGTAAACAAATATGATCAGCATTTACCAGCTGCTTCATTAGTGCCCCGTAAGGCTGCTATGTTTAATACACACCAGAAGAAGAAACTAAAATTTAAAAAAATATTTTTACCATAATTTTAGTAGGTTAGGGTAAAAAATTATAAATAAGGTTTGTAAAGGGTGAATCTTATTTTGAAATCCATCATGTGGTTCTCATCTCTTCTGGTTAGATGGTTCCTGTTTTTGTCGCTTTAAATCTGGTTCCAGTTAAAACGAGGGGTTTAATTTGTCTTTGCTCTTCTTCAGCACGTTCAACTCATTTTGAAGCTTTAGCTACTCGTGATGTTCCAGTCAATGTTAGCATGCTGCTAAAAGATGTTAAAAACAAAGTTAATAGAAGTGAAGAGTTGTTCCATGTTCAGAGTGAACGAAGAGTGATTCACGTCACAGTGCCATAAAAACATCTTTCATCTAAACCCAAGAAAAAATTCCATCATATTAAACATTGTTTTTTCATTCATCAACATTTTAAAAAGATATTTTTGAATCTAATTGAAGACAATTAATATAAACATATAGATGAAAGTGAATTTGATGTTTAATAGAAAATAATATTTAGAAAGATTTTTTATTTGTGATTGCTCTGCTGAACCTACTCACATCCTGCATGGACCAGAAACAAACCACCTGGACTCTGACTCAACCTCCCGCCTTGGACTTGGCCACGCCCACTGGATCATACGGTGCTAATTCAAGGAGTTGAGGTGAAACTGCACAAAACACGAAGACGGACACAAAAACCTGCCATTTGTCTTCTCACGTCAAAACAGGCTCCACAAACGGATCGTTTCAGTGTTTTTTAGAGTTTCTGTTTTTCTCAATCTGAACAAATATGTGGAAGTTTATTCACAAAGAAACGACATCATGTGATGCTCATTTACAGCGAGCAGCTGCTCTCGTTCTGTCATGAATGAACCACATTCCTGCTGCTCCTCTGGACACCTGGATCACACCCAGACCTGCACTCAGGTTTGACCTGAGTGCAGGGGGAGCTGTTTTCCTGTCATATAAAATCCGTGTGGTGGAATCACCTTTTAAGCAGCAGCCAGGTGAGCTCACAGCAGATCTGTTTTAAAATGACCTGTTCTAAACTCTGTGGATTCAAACCAGTTTAACAAACATTAAAGACACAAATTCAGGTTCAGACGCTTTGTGTTGATTTTTCACTGAGAGAAAAAACAGTCAAGAATGTAAAGCTAATGATTCATGTCTGCCCACTGGGGGGCAGCGTTGCTCCCAAAATCAATATAAACGGTTGAGTTTGGATGAAAATTACAAAAGAAAGATGTTAAAACTGATTTAGGGAAGTTTATGATTTTGATTTAATATATTCATATCACGTTGTTTGTTATAAAGTATCTGTTTCAATGTTTGAAACCTGATATTTTGAGATGAAAAGAATAAAACGTAAGAAAAGTC